ACACTAGTTACTGCCCAACACTCATATGTTAAAGACGTGGGAACGGTCGGGCCGACTCCATCATCGTGGCTGGCAGCGGTTACTCAGAGAAGACTAGTGCTAGAAATGATGTTTGTGTGTTTTAGGCACGACTAAAGCAGAGGATCGTGGGATGCTGCTGAAGACCTTCAATGATCCGGCCTCTCAGTGCTTCATATTCCTGCTGAGCACCAGAGCGGGTGGACTGGGCCTCAATCTGCAGAGCGCGGACACCGTCATCATATTTGACAGCGACTGGAACCCTCATCAGGTACCCTTCATCATCCTCATCCTCCTCATGCTCATCCTCAGCTGGCTCCTCTGATGCTCTCGGTCTGCAGGACCTCCAGGCGCAGGATCGAGCGCACCGCATCGGACAGCAGAACGAGGTGAGGGTTCTGCGGCTCTGTACCGTCAACAGCGTCGAGGAGAAGATCCTGGCGGCCGCTAAATACAAGCTGAACGTGGACCAGAAGGTGATCCAGGCCGGCATGTTCGACCAGAAGTCGTCGAGTCACGAGCGCCGAGCGTTTCTGCAGGCCATTCTGGAGCACGAGGAGCAGAACGAGGTCAGGACTTTCATTGGGCACTACATCGACCTCGTTTACATGAACTAGACTATTCCAATATTAAAGGGGTCATGACATGAGGAACCAAATTTCTCTTGATCTTTTGACACAGAAGAGGTCGAATAAGGTTTGTATGCTTAATACATCCTGCAAGTTTCAGAACTTAAAATGTCCTCATCAATAAAAAAGAAAGAATCTATGTAATAACCCTCATAAAACGGCTCGTTTGGATCCGAGGTGCAGGGTGACGTCACTCGGTCGCAGTCATTTGCATAAACACGCCTCCAGAGCAGCACATCAACGAATAGTCTTCTCAGCATAGGCTCCGCCCACTGGCATTCAGTCGCTTAAAGGGATAGTTCACCCAAAAATGAAAATTATCCGTTCATCTTCGGAACACAAATTAAGGTATTTTTGATAAAATCCTCTGCTCGTCAAGACATGCTGGGAAATGAAGAGCAGTAGTAGACGTGACTGATGTGTCTCTCAGGTGGATCTGAACGAGGAGGAGACCATCCTGATCATCCGCCGCCTGCACAAGGTGCTCCGCCCCTTCCTGTTGCGCCGGCTGAAGAAGGAAGTGGAGGCGCAGCTGCCTGAGAAGGTGATTCTGATGCAGTCTGTCTGTCGTCGCCTCGGACAGATGAAGCATTGTGCTGTTTTGTGTCTGTGTGCAGGTGGAGTACGTGATCAAGTGTGACATGTCTGCGCTGCAGAGGGTCCTGTACCGACACATGCAGGCCAAAGGAGTGCTGCTGACCGACGGCTCCGAGAAGGACAAGAAGGTGAGCAAGAAGAGCTCTCTGGAGATCATGTTCAGTCTGTGTGCTGTTGGATGTCTCGGGGTAAAGGTGTGCGTTTGAACGTGTGTTTCAGGGTAAGAGTGTGTGTGTGTGTGTGTGATTATGAGTGTGTGTGAGTGTTAATGAGTGTGTGTGCGTGTGTGTGTGTGATTATGAGTGTGTGTGTGTGTGTTTCAGGGTTAAGGCTCGTTTGGATCCGAGGTGCAGGGTGACGTCACTCGGTCGCAGTCATTTGCATAAACACGCCTCCAGAGCAGCACATCAACGAATAGTCTTCTCAGCATAGGCTCCGCCCACTGGCATTCAGTCGCTTAAAGGGATAGTTCACCCAAAAATGAAAATTATCCGTTCATCTTCGGAACACAAATTAAGGTATTTTTGATAAAATCCGAGAGCTCTCTGACCCTCCGTAGACAGCAATGCAACTGAAATGTTCCCAGGTCCAGAAACATAGCAAGGCGATCGATAAAACAGTCCATGTGACATCAGAGGTTCAACCGTAATTTTATGAAGCTACGAGAATACTTTTTGTGCGCAAAGAAAACAATAGTAACATAATTTATTCAACAATTCCATAATGGAGAGTACCCCAGAATATAATCAACATAATGAGCGTTGTTTACGTTCAGTAGAAAGCGCGTGCATGCTGAACGTAAACAACGCTGATTACGTTGTAAAGACACTCACATGTAGTAGCGAGGGGCGTTGATACTGTTTCCTATGCAGTGACGTTAGCCAATCACATCAGTGTCTGATTACTGAGAAGCCTTAAAGAACCCGCCCCTTAAAACAGATCGTTTTAGACAGAGGGTCAGAATCAGGCTTGAAAATAATCATTTTCCACATATTTATTTGTTTTTTTTGTGCAAAAAACTTTATTAACATTATAAGAGAACTTCAAGAAACATATTAAAATAATAAAAAAAACTATGTCATGACCACTTTAAAGGGAATTTGCTTTTGTTTTATTAACGAATGCGTCATGAAAACTGCCGTAAACTGATTTAATCAAGTCCCAATGAGGCTGGTGTCGTATGATATTATCCTGAATATTGGGTCATGTAAACCTTATTCAGAATATCAACTGTAACCGTATTTTGCATGTCCATACAAACGTGATTCTAGGAGTTACAAGGACTCAAAGTTTTAAGATGTCAAACACATTTTGGAAGAGATTTGTCTCACAAACATAAGAAAAAGTGAGGATGAAATTAATCACTATAAAGATGTGTTTGCAAATGTTTACAAAAGGTGTGATAAATATAATAACATGGTTTTATAATGATCTGATGATAATGAGAGCATCTCCAGGATTGAGCGAGAGCCTTGTTTTGTCAGAATATGCGGATCAGCTCGTCTACAGGAATATCCTGGAAGCTGTGAAGCATCAAAACCGTCATGTAAACCTGGTCATGGATGTCTTCTCTCTGTTCTGTTCGTCTAAAGCTCTTCTGATTGCTTGCGTCTGTTTCTCCGTCAGGAAGAGGACGAGGTGCCGGACGATGAGACCGTAAATCAGATGATCGCCAGGAGTGAGGACGAGTTTGACCAGTTCATGGTCTCGTTTCACTTTCTCTCGCTTATGTTTGTCAGTCTCGATCACCAAATCCAGATCGAATCCAAATGAGCTTCCACTGTCTCTGTGTTTCTGCGCAGCGCATGGATCTGGATCGCCGCCGCGAGGAAGCACGCAATCCGAAGCGAAAGCCTCGTCTCATGGAGGAGGACGAGCTGCCCACCTGGATCATGAAAGACGACGCCGAGGTGGAAAGACTCACCTGTGAGGAAGAAGAGGAGAAGATGTTCGGCCGCGGCTCCCGTCAGAGGAAGGAGGTGGATTACAGCGATTCGCTCACAGAGAAACAGTGGCTGAAGGTCAGACAGACGCCTCATTCATCAGCTTGTCTTCCTCTGCTGGACGCTCCTGATCCATCCCTCTGTTCTCAGGCGATCGAGGACGGGACCCTGGATGAGATCGAGGAGGAGGTGCGCCACAAGAAAACGTCTCGGAAGAGGAGGCGCGATCGAGATCCGGACGCCATCCCGTCCACTTCAGGCGCTCGCGGGGGACGAGAGAGAGACGACGACGGCAAAAGACAGAAAAAACGAGGTCGCCCGCCGTCCGAGAAGCTTTCGCCAAACCCTCCACCGCTCACCAAGAAGATGAAGAAGATTGTGGACGCTGTTATTAAATATAAGGAGAAGTGAGTGTCTGAGTGGTTTCCAGTAGATGAAAGTACAGGCCAGTGCTGAGACAGATGGTAAAGTAGGACAGCTGATGGTTCTGGACCTGGGGAAGGTTCTTGTGTCTTCAGGTGTTTCTCGTGAACGTGGTTTTGCGTGTTGCTCACAGAACACAGCAGATCCTCCTGATGCTGAAGAGCAGGGCCATGATGTTGTTGATGATATTGAGCACTAGGTCTGTAACAGCAGGTGTTTTCTCACGTTTGTAATCGGACTGAAAAGCCTTCATGTAAACACCTTAAAGGTGCTGTATGTAGGATTGACACCCAGTGGTTGAACTAGGTATTGCAGTCCAAATTCTAAATATTGGAGAGGGTTATTTCACCCGGCCTCCTCCTCAGACGTGACGCACACGCAGGTTGCCAGATTGACGACACTAACAGGAACAAGCGCACTTGACGATGAATGAAATGAAATGCGCTGTGTTTTCCGCCAACTGGCAACCCGGGGTGCCGAAATACAACTGGGTAAACTGGCAGTGGGCGGGTTAAACAGACCAAAACAAAGACAGACATTCCGACCCGGAACGCACATTTTCAAAGGAGAATATCTGACTAGCATTGTTTTTCAGATAAACAAGTGTGGTAACTTAGCATGTTTCTTAAATTTCTGCAAACATATTATGGTATTTTTATGCTTTAGTAGAGTCAAAAACTTACATACAGCACCTTTAATCGATCCAGTTGAGCTCGATCCGAACAAAATTTTGACCAGATTGAAATGGGTGGTTTATTCCTTTTCTATTACAATTGAGAGCGCATGTAAACGCTTGACTGAAACTGAAACTGAAATGACTGCGCATGTGCAATGATATAGAAATAGCGTAAACGCGCGGAACGAGCAGTTCTTCTGTTGAATAACTGCGTGTCCTGTCATTATAAAGCTCTCCCTTCACTCTGCAACTGTGAAGTGGAGCAAGTCCTTGTTTGGGATTCTCATCCACAGACCACAGGTTTTGGGCTCGGGGAGGGCGTTTTACTGCGTGATAAATATAAGCAGCACGGCACAGGGTTTATACGTATATTTATCCAGAAATGGGTAAATATTAATTCTGCTGTTTAAAACATAAAGAAACCGTGTAGGAGAGTGGTTATTATGTGCAAAAGTGAGAAACTCTATATTTGTGCAGTGTGCGCATGTCAAAAACATGCGATTTGAAGCTTGTGACATATAAACGCGCACAACCCGATCACTTTATCTAGCATTCATGTAAACACGACATTCAGATTCATGAATCGCAATGAATTCAGTCCGATCGAAACAAAAATTGTGCATGTAAACAGCCACTGTCTGATTGTTTCTGGAGGCTCTGGTCCGTCAGTGAAGGTTTGGAGGACAGGTCAGAGGTCAGCTGAGAGCAAGTATTCCTCACTAAACCGCCGTGACTGATGTGTGTTTGTGTCGTGATGTTCTGAATGTTAGTAACGGCCGTCAGCTGAGCGAGGTGTTCATCCAGCTGCCGTCACGCAAGGAGCTGCCCGAGTACTACGAGCTGATCCGCAAACCTGTGGACTTCAGGAAGATCAAGGTGAGCGAGTGGATCGTGAACACAGTCAGCGTCTGTGAGCTCAGGCTTCATTCTGCTGTCGTCTGTGTGTGAGCAGGAACGCATCCGGAGCCATCGATACCGCAGCCTCAACGATCTGGAGCGAGACGTGATGCTGCTGTGCCAGAACGCTCAGACCTTCAACCTGGAGGGATCACTGGTTAGAGACACACACACACACACAGACTCACACACACACAGACTCACACAGA